TGGTGGATGTGCTCCGTGGCCGTGGTTCTATTTGCATCGGTAGGGTTTCCCAAGTAGTAGTCGCGCAGGTAGTCCTGGCATTCCAATTCCCAGCAGGCGAGTTGGTTTACGAGCAATGTGTTCCATGATGCACTGGTCGAAGGATACCAGGCGTACGTTGCGCAGTCGTAGCAGATGTTGCATTTCGGGTAGTAGCCAGCTGTTTGGTTATTGCCTGCTGTCGTGGGCGGTTTCGGGGCGCGCCACGGTGGAGGGCGCCCCCGTGGCGCGGGCGACGTGCAGCATGATGATTGTCGTGCGCAGCAGCTGGTTTCGATGTCGATCTGGTCGTTCTCGGGGTCCTTGGGGTCGTTAAGCCCCATGGTTGTTCTCTAACGTTACTTCGTAGTGGCCGTGGTTGACGTTGGGCTTCTGGCAGGCCTCGCATTCTCGCCGCACTCAGTGTCTCGCGCGGTGGCCCAGCCATCATTGTTGTCACCTTCCCTTGACGCATATGGTGGATCCAAAAGTCGGTCGTAGTCCAGTTGATGGGGTCCCCTGCGGTGGCGCGGTTGGTGATGTCGATGGCTTCTGTGTACGCCTGCGTGTGGGGGGTGGTTGGAAGTGCTCCATCCACTCTTGCAGATCTCCTTCTCATGGATGTCCGCTGTAGAGGTGGGGGACACATCGTGCAGGTCCTGCTGGGGATTGCGGCATTGTTGGGTTGGGCGTTTTTAGGTCAAGTGTTGGAAAATCGACTGGGCTTGTGTTGTCGCGTTTTGCGTGCTTGTCTTTGGTACAGGTCGGGCTGATGTCGGTCGTGTACCTTGGTATGTGGGCATAGTCAGGTGGTCGTCCTGTCTTGATGCGACTTCGCTGGGTCCATCGCACGGTCTCGCGCTTCTCATCGATCCCCTCGTCGGAGGCTTGTACTGGCGTCATCCAAGGCGCCGCGCGCGATGGGGCACCCTGGAGGTGCATGACGAGCCTGCGTAGGCATAATGCTGGTAGCTGCATGTCATACATATTGGACCGCGTGCCCATCTCGCAGGACGCGCCCCGCTTTCGTGGCATTTTCCAATGTGGGCGTAGTGGGCATTCTTCTTCACGAATGCTGTTACCGGTGCTGGTGTCGTATCGACGGTGTTCTAGTATGGCTCAAGGGCGCAGTACCATTGTTCCTGGTGAGTTTTGTCTGCATGTCGTCACAAGTGCCTGGTGGTAACGGTCTCGACGATGGCGTTGAATATGTCGGGTTCGCTTTGAGCTGCTCGCAATACCTCTTCCATGTCGGTCGACTCTGTGGGTTGTGTTGTCCGCTGGTAGCAAGTCGCTGCGCATGCGTCGCATGTTCCCCGTCAGCGCGCTGGCCCAGCTTGCCTCGCGGTAGATCCTGATCAAGCAGCCTCAGCAGTGCTGTAGACTCGCGGAGTAGTAGAAGTGGCAGGAACCGCAGTCTCCTGGCTCGTCTCGCCACCGCACGTGTCACCGTGGTGGCGTCAGCGAGGTGCTGTTGTCCGTGGTGCGTTGTCCGGTCGCTTGTCGGCAACCCCATTTCGCGCATTCTACCGCCATTGCCTTGTTGCCTGTCTCCGCGAGGTTGCTCCAAATATCAATTTTTGTACATTAGAGTGGAGAGCGCGAGGGAAGCGTTGCAGAGTGCGTCCGGGTTTTCTGGGATATGTTTCGTCCGAGTATCTGCTTGCGCCCTTGGGCCTTAACCCGCCATCGCTTTGTTGGTTCCTCTCTTGACGCCCATGGCCCGTGGCCGCCGTGGATGTAACAGTCGTGCCAGGGGCGGTCTGACAGTCGACCAGCTCCACCGTCTGGTCGGTGCTGGTGGGGGGTATGATGTTGATACCGTCCATATTTCCCTTGGCATCGCTCGGACGTGTGCATTTTTCTTTCGGCGAGGACCATCGAGGGGCATCCTTGATTACTCGGCGAAAAAACCACGCACGAAACCGAAAAATACACAGGGGATGGACGTCCGAGCGATGCCCAGAGATTGCCACGTGCACCTTCGTAGTCCAGGTTCCGGTGCCAGACAGCAGAAGCATGATCTTGGTCCGCTCCATTGTGAGTCGCACGCCCTGCCCTCGCACCCTGGAGTGTATTATATGTAGTGATGTTGTCGCGGCGTCGGTCGCCTGCTGTGGAGTTGTCGCGGCGCATGCAGTGAAGTCAACAATGATGCGTCGGTGCCGCGATTCCGCCTTGAACTCGCCCTGACCCCATCGCTATAGCTGATGACTTCGGGCTCGACCTTCAGTTTCGCCTTCCAGCCTGCTCTGGCGACGTCTGGCTGCGACTTCGATGCAGATATGTTGCCACGCCCTTGTTTCCGACGCGCGGCCATACGTCTTGGGGAGGGCACCTCGGCCACCAGGGCAATTTCCGCATCGGGCGCAGTGGGCTCGCCGTGGGTTTGCCGCGGTGCCGGCGCCGTCTGCGTCCGGCGCGGGGCGCAGGGCTTGCCGTGGGTTCACCGTGGTGTCGGCGTCGTCCACATGGGCGCGTCGAGTCAAACGGCGCGACGACAGATGTTCTGGCCCCAGCGCCGCAGGTGACGACGTCGGGTTTCGTCTTCGCCTCCGTTCTCGCTGCGCAGCGGCAGAGCGTGCTGCCCCTCCTCGGCCTTCTCGCGTGCGCCGGCCTCCGCGCTGCCGTCGGCGACGTTGGGCTGCGGCTTCGCCTCCGACTTGCCCTGGTCCTGGCGCAGAAGCCGATGCCTTTGGCTCACCCTTCACAGTCCTCTCGCTCATGGTGGCACCCAGAATACATAGAATTGGTACGATATCGGGCTCCAGCGTCGCCGTCCTCATGGAGCGGCGTGGCGACAGAAATGCCTGCCACCGCTTGCCCTTCTCGCACGACGTCGGGCTCCAGCTGCCTCCATATTCGCCTCCAGTTTTTCGCATTGCGCCAGATGTAGCTGACGACGTCGGGCTCGACCTTCGCGTTCGGTGTCTCTGTCGGGCTCCTCCTTCTCCTCCCACTTCTCGCAGTGAGGTGGAAGGTCAGGCTCTAACTTTACCTTTCCGCCCTTTCTGGCGACGTGGAACTGCTGCTTCGCCTCGGGCGTGCCCCCATCTCAGCACTGATGGTGATTACATCGGGCTACAACTTCGAATGCCTTCTCTCTGAGTAGCGGCAGAGCGCGCGTAGGAGGAGAAGGAGAATGATCAGGAGGAGGGGAAGGAGAAGGAGGAGCAGAAGAGAAGAAGAGGAGGAAGAGGAGGAGGAGGAGGAGGAGCAGGAGTAGGGGGTGGCAGAAGGAGGAGCGAAACGAGAAGGAGGCGGAGGACAGGAAAGAGGGGAGGAGGAAGAGGCAGCAGGAGGAGGGGGCAGCAGCAACAGAGAGAGGAGGGAGGGGGGGCCGAGAGAGGGGAGAAGAGGGTAGGAGGAAGAGGAAGCGGATGGAGGGGAAGGAGAGCGACGAAGAAAGAGGAGGAGCATCAGCACCAGCACCAGCACCAGCAATCTAGCAGTTGATGGCAGAGTGCTGCCGCCTTCGTCCTGGTCTCTTCCTCCTCTTTTCGTTGATAGCTCACAACACAGTGCGTAGTGCTCTCTTGCATGTGCACCAGTTCCGTAGCGATCGCAGCAGCTCTCGGGTGGATCTTGGCCCTAGGCCTCGCAGCTCCCCTTGAGCCACAGGCACACTGGTCGCTGCAGTATGTACATGGAGTCGTCCTGGAGCGCCTCTCGGAGGACGACGGGCAGCGGCGGTCCTCGCTCAGGCGAGCGGTGGCGGGATGAGCCGCCACAGGTGGCCCCACAGGCCGACCGCCTCGAGCTCACGCCACCCGGCGGGAGAACCAACGGAGCGACGGAAAGAAAACGGTGGTTGTCTTCACCGACGTGTGGTTCGCAGGTTGCCCGCGTAAGGTTGCGCGCATGCGCCCTCGTTTTCGACTTGGCATTCCGCGCTGGCGGCCTGCGCAAGCCACCGCGTAAGGTCGCGACGCCATATGTCGTAAGACCCTTGTCATGTCGTGGCTCTAATGGATCCACCATCTCTCCGGCCAAGCAGCAGCAGCAGCATGCAAAAACACAGCCGAGCAGTTGGAGCGGGAGCAGCACGGGCAGGAGCAACAGCAGCAGGAGCAGAACAATCACGAGGACGATGAGGGGGAACGACGAGGGACGTGAGAGGAGGAAGGACAATAGGGATGATGATGATGCTGATGATGATGATGATGATGATGATGATGATGATGATGATGATGATTATGATTATGAGTATGAGTATGATTATGATGATGATGCTGATAATAATGATGATGATGATGATGATGATGATGATGATGATGATGATGATGATGATGATGATGATGATGATCATGATGATCATGATGATCATGATGATCATGATGCTGATGCTGATGCTGATGCTGATGCTGCTGATGATGATGATGATGATGATAATGCTGTTGATGTTGATGTTGATGTTGATGATGATGTTGTTGATGATGATGATGAGGAGGAGGAGGATAAGGAGGATGAGGTTTGGGATCAGGTGGAGCAGGTGGATGAGATGGGGCAGGAGGAATATGGGCAGAATCAGAAAAAAGGAGGGAAAGGAAAAGGGATGAGGACGACGACGATATAACAAAGTAAGGTCGGAGTAAAAGGTGACAGATCAGGTCGGAGCAGAAGGAGGCTGGAGAGGAGGAGGAGGAGGAGACCCACCCCGTCCAGGGTGATCAGAAGCTGAAGCCCTTGCCCTTCAGTGGCGCCGCCCCGGCTCAGGAATCCGTGGCACACCCCATGCCAGATCTTCCATAATTCTTCCTCCTCAGGGCTCCAGCTAAACAGTGCTTTCCGCCTTCGTGTTGTGTTCGTTTCTCCTCGCCCTGTCGTCGTACCACCTTTTTGTTGCAAGACAGTCAGGACGACGACGGCCCACGAAATCGCGAAAACAACGTTTCGCTCGAGCCCTGCTCCCTCTTGCAGGGGCGCCCCCCCCCGCCTCCCGCCATCCCCCCCACCCCCCCGAGAGCGCACTTGCAGCGCCGATGGCGCCCCGCACTCCTGCCGCGCTCCTGGCCGGCCTCGTCCTGGCGGCCGTCACCGCGCGGGCGTCCGGCGACGACGCCAGCGGCGCCGCGTCTCCGTCGGAGGACTCGGGGGCGCCCACGCGGGCGGCGATGATTGGGCAGTGTCGGGCGGGTGGTAATGCGGGATGACGGTCATTCAAAAAAATGGGAGAGAAAGATTAAAAACATAGTTTTCTGCTATTTCTGCATAATTTTCTGACTGGAGGAGGACGATTACAAGAAATAGTTTTCCAGCCCGCGGCCGGTTTTTTCGAATCATCATCCCGGGCGCCGCCGCGTGAACACAACCCTCGGTCATTTATCAATCGTCATCCTCCATTAGTCTCAAGTCGGGTACGTCCTTCTACAGGAGGGATATTCGAAGATGGTCATCAAATAGTCTGGGGAAGTTCTCGTTGGTATGTAGAACCAGTTTTGAATATGGTTTTACTCATTCCCATTCTTCGTCGAAAATCCCCCTGCAGGAGGATACGCCCGACCTAATGGTAGTGGAGGGTGATATAAATGGGGGCGAAGAGAAGGAAAGGGAACTCTTGGGACCCCTCTTGGAGCCGGGAGGGGCCCCCCAAAGAAACCCTCACTGGCCCCTTTTCAGGGATTTCTCTTCACGCCCCATCTGCGTGGGCCCCCCCCATTACCACCCGCCACCCGCCCGGATTGCATTGCCCATTACTCTGAGTTCAACACGCGGCCCCTGCCCCCCCCCCCCCCCGTCCGCGCAAGGCCATGCATGATGCGCCCCCCCCCCCTCCCCTTTCCCTCCTCCCCCCCAGGAGGGAGGACGATGAAAGAGGAGGCGGAGGAGGATCAGGAGGATCAGGAGGAGGAGAAGGAGGAGGAGGCAGGAGGATCTGGAGGAGGAGGAGGACGCGGAGGAGAAGGCAGGAGGATCAGTAGTAGGAGGAGAGAGAGAGAGAGGAGAGGAGGAGGAGGAGGAGGAGGAGGAGGAGGAGGAGGAGGAGGAGGAGGAAGAGGAGGAGGAGGAGGCTGAGGAGGCTGAGGAGGAGGAGGAGGAGGAGGAGGAGAGAGGGAAGGAGGAGAGGAGGAGAAGGAGGAGGAGGAGGTGGAGGAGGAGTCCTCTTGCACCACCCCCTCGCTGGACGGCCCCGAGAGGACAGCTGCGCGCTCCTGCAGGCGCCGTCCAGGCTCGCGAGCGAGACCGACGAGGACAGCTGCACGCTGTTCAGCAAGCGCGGCCTGGAGTTCTCCTGCGACGTGCGCCCACAGAAGGACGCGAGCGGTGCGGCCGCCATCCTACTCGTCCTCCTTCTCCCCTTCCTGCACATGACGCTCCAACCTCCTCCTCCTCCTCCTCCTCCTCCTCCTCCTCCTCCTCCTCCTCCTTCTCTTCTTCCTCCTCCTCCTCCTCCTCCTCCTCCTCCTCATCCTCCTCCTCCATCGCTCTTCCTTGCAAATAGGTATCCGATCCCGAGAGTTGTTTTAGACGTCACTGCTCGAAAGTGATGTTGTATGGGCGCGAGCTGGACGACAATTGCAAGTGTTGATTTCTCCAGTGTTCGCAGATGGTTCTGGCATCCATGGGCCGTCTCCCTGGACAATTCGTTGTGGTTTTGTTGTCGCTGCAGGTGGTCGGTTTGGAAATACTCATACCATGGCCTATGGGCCTTATCCTGGGCTGGTTCAGGCAGTTGCTAATGCGGAGGCCTCTTCAGTCCTTGCATTCTTGCCCAACGCAGCGCCGGAAGAAGGAGGGCAATACCACTCTTATGGAGACTGCCAGTGGGTAGTCGGTGTTAGATACCTTCGCTCTCCCTCCGCCAGCATCCACAGTTGTCTCGCCACGGATGGCTACGGCCATGTATTTAAGAATGACGAGGTTGTTCATATTTTGTCGATTTTGTGCGGCCTACAGTTGCACGAATGTCCAAAATCTCCTAGGGTTCTGTCGCAGCATAGTCACATCCGATATCTCTCGAAGTCGGCTGGCGAGTCTCTTTGACGGGTGTGACCCACGCACTCATGCTTCCATCGGAACGGTGTTTATCCCCATGTTGGAGATACTTGATTTACAGACTTCTGCGAAGTTCCCTGACGGTACATACCCTGGGTTCAATCTGGCAATCCTGTCCATGTAAGAATGGTTTTTATATGGTAGTGCTAGCCCCCCGAAGAATAGGCGGCGCCACCCACCGGTGATGTCTCACGCTGGTCAGGGCCAACCCCTGTTGTACATGCAAGGCAGATCTCATCCTGCCCAGGCTCTGCGTGGGAATGAGAGCGGAACGCCTCAGGCGCCTTCCCGCTCCGGCCCCCTGTGAGCGGCAGCCGCTGTCGTCGCCGTCGCCGCGGCCGGTCGTGCCGCTGCGGGCGTCCCGTCATCTGTAGTGTCGTCGTTGCCGTCGCCGTCCCTGCCGCCGCCATCACTGCTGCCGCCTGTGGTTGTTTTTGTTTCTGTCTGGACCTTGCGCCCCTTTTCGGGTGCGCGCGATACCATTCTAGAATCTTAGAATCCTGTCGCACCACCATACGTGTCGGTAAGGTGGGCCAGGCGTTTCGTTTGTGACTTCCTCACCGCTTGAGATCGTGAAGCTTCGAGTTTGCAACCGTTTCGCGGATGGAGGCCGGGTGGTGTTCAAATTGTGGTTCTCGCTCTAGCGCCACGCACATCGCGCACATTAGTTTGTAGACCGCGACAGTTTCACGGATGGAAGGCGGGCCGCTTTCAAAATGTTGTTCTCGTTTTAGCGCCGCGCACATTCGCGTGAAAAAATATATCGCGTTTTCAATGGTTGAGGGCGTTTCTTTGGATCTCGCCATATCACGTGAATCTTCGTCTTCAAGTCTTCCGTAGGTTCCAGGGTTCGTATGTGTGAAGTCCCAGGAATGGTGTTCTAGCAGGATGTAGGACTGTCATGACACAGCAATAACTCTGATTCGCGAGATGGAAATCCCAGGAATTGCGTTCTGGCAAGCTTTTAGCGTCTTCAACAAGCAACAGGCACGTGGATCCGCGGCGGTGAAGTCCAAGGGTTGGTACGGCACGATTGAGGGTTCTCAGACGGCTGTCTTCGAACGCGCCACATCCCGCCATGAACAGAAATTCGCTTCAGGGACCCGGGAAGGGAAAATTGGAGAAGCACATTATTTCAACAGCGATGATGGGTCTTGGGTTTGTATTGGTCCTCCTCCTCCTCACGCTCCCCCTTTTTTGTGTTTCTCGGGCTATTATCATGTTTACCTCCTTGTCGTGCTCCTGCTGTTGCTGTTGCTCCCCCCTCTTGTGATGAGCAGAAGGAGCAGGGAAAGGAGAAGGAAGGGAGCACGAGGAGAAGGAGACCGAGGGCGAGGGCCAGGAGGAGAATAGCGAGGAGAGGGAAAAGCAGCAGGAGAGCAGACGAGGAGGAGGAGGAGGAGGAGGAGGAAGAGCAGGAGGAGGAGGCGGAGGAGAAGGAGGGGGAGGAGGAGGAGGAGAAGGAGGAGGAGGAGGAGGAGGAGGAGGAGGAGAAGGAGCAGGAGAGGAGGAGGAGGAGGAGGAGGAGAAGGAGGAGGAGGAGGAGGAGGAGGAGGAGGGGCCCGAAGGACAAGAGCGACGCCGGCACCCTCCTCCTGGAGACGGCCGCCCGGCGGGAGCCGGGCGCCGTGGCGCTGCTGGACCTCGGCATGTCCCACTACGTCAGCGACATGGCGGGCAGGCCTATCCACAGCGACAGCGGCAACAATAGCAACGATCGCGGCAGCAACTCGAGGAACAGATGTCTGCGTAAGCATGAGTTGTCGGAGGTCTGCGCGGATCTCTTGGATCGGCGCCCCTCGTCGCGTTCCGCGCGGCAGGGAGGGGGGGTCCAGCGCCGCTTCAAGAAATCCGCGCGGAGCTCCAAACGTGTACGTTTACGCAGCTTCTTTTTGTCCCTCGATTTCTTCCAACAAAGATCGCGACCACAACAGCAACCGCGATCGTTATCGTTGTCGATAGTTGTCACCGTTGTTCCCCATCCCCTCCGCCCTCCCCCTTGCCTCCCAATCCCTCGCCTCCCCTCCCCATCTCAACCGTCCCGCTGCCTCCCCACTCTCTGCCCACCTCTGCGCCCTCTGCACGCTTCCCTCCCCCCCTCTGTGCAGGGGGGACGACGCCGTGGTGTACGTCGTCACCACGGCGCTGACCGACTTTGTGAGCCACGTGCTGCCCAAGGTGAGCACGCCCTTCGGGAGGAGGAGGAAGAGATGCAGGAGGAGCTGCTGGAGGAGCTGCAGGAGGAGCAGCATGAGCACGAGGAGGCACAGCGAGCGGGAGGAGCAATCGGAGGAAGAGGAGGAGCAAGTGTAGGAGGCGGAGGAGGAGCAGGAGGAGGAGGAGGAGGCGGAGGAGGAGGAGGGGGGGAAGAGGAGGAGGAGGAGGAGGAGGAGGAGGAGGAGGAGGAGGATTCCCTTCGGGGATCATCCGTTAAACTTGGAACGATACAGAGAAGATTAGCATGGCCCCTGCGCAAGGATGACACGCACAAATCGAGAAGTGTATACAATGTTTGCGGCCACGTGCGAGGAGGACGGGGTGGGGGAAAGAGGAAGAGAAAGTGTCGGCCGAGGTGAACACGACCTTCAAGCTCGTGACAGGGGACTGCGGCGGCTAGAATGCGACCGCCCTCTTGCGCACGAGGAGGAGAGGAGTACGGAGTACACCCATCAGGCATCTCAAGGAAAAAAAACGCGTCAACTTCCATGCACTCCAGATTTCGCTTCAGAAAATCAGGATATCTGGACTTGGCCCTGGGCGTTTTCTTGGAGCTGCTTGCATCGTAGAACTGTCGTATCTCTGGACCTGGACTGCTGTTTCAGAAAACGCGTGGAGTGAAGGCCATCTTCTTAGCGTACAAGTTTCTTTAATTCTTAGGCAGGGGTGTAGGAGGAGGGAGAGAGGCGAGGACGCTGCCGGAGGAGAAGAGGACTTGAGGAGCAATATCTGCACATGAGAACTCGAAGGTGCGCTCCGCGTCGCCTCA